TGATAAAAAGAAAAAAAACTATAAGGACCTAATTCAAAATTGGTTAAAACTATAAGGACTTTTAGATTAATTAACCCTAATATAAATTACACTATAAAAGGGATCTTATATATAGGATCGGAAGGAGTATTTTTTGGCTATATGTGGTTTAATAATCTGACCTTTATTGTGAACCATAGGAGTACATAAACTTGAAATGAGATAGACAGAGGCCTCGTTTGGTAGAACGTTTAAAATCTCCTATAAGCATATTTCATATAAGTTGAGATAAAACTCCTCTCACATACTTGTTTCGTATTCTGTAAATCACTATTGAAAGACAGTTTATAATTCATTTATAAGTTGTTTCAACCAGATCCGGAATGGAAGAGAAGCTTTGAGGCAGAAGTAGAATTGAGAAGTTAGTATGAGGGTGATGGCGGAGAAGTTGAGAAGGTTTGAGAGTGAAAAGAAGGTAAGCCAGATTAGAAACGAAGAACTTGTTATAAATGTTGTCTCTAGGTGTGTCAGAAAGAAGTCTTTTTGATAGAGGTAAATATTCAGTTTTTCGGTTCGGTTATCGGTGATAACCGAATTAACCGAATAGAGTAAATTTTACACACCAAACCGAAACCGATAACTGAACTAACCGAAACCGAATTAACCGAATTATTTCGGTTCGGTTAACTGATTAACCGAAATATATAAATATGAAAGTGATTTTAAATTATTAATAATAATAAAACACAATTACAACCATTAATTTATAAATATTTCATCATTTAATGTGATTTATTGCAATAATATTTATTATAACCATATTTATTGAATATAAACATATTTAAAGAGTTCACATAAACCCATATATAGATATTTGTTATAATAATATTTATTAAATATAAATATACAATATATTCATTTCGGTTTTTTTGATTATAACTAAATTTTTTTTCTACTAACCGAACCGAACACCAAAACCGAATTATTACAAAAACAAAAACCGAATATGTAACCGAAAACTGAAATAACCGAACCAAAAACCGAAATTAAATTCAATTCAGTTCGGTTTTCAATTACGGTTCGGTTTTGCTCATTCTTACCTTTGACACGCCTCTTTCTTCTTGTGAATAGATGTCTTATTTAAGACACAGTTAGATCTTGGCTCAGGACAACGCCGGTGGCATGCTTAACTGTAACATACTATATTTAAAAAAAATTATAATAAAATATATATGAATAAAATAATATTTTATTTTTTAAAAAACAATCTTTTCCACCGAGTTTGGTGGAAAAGACGGGAGGGAGGGAGTTGTACTAAATGAACGAAGAATTTTGGGGAGTTGTAATTAATGAAGTTGAAAAATGGGGCGTATTAATTGAGGAGGAAAGAGGAGGGAGGACGCGGTTGAATAAAATAATATAGGGGGCGGTGTAGGTTCAAGGACAATAAGGGAGAAAAATAAATGCAAGCGTGTTAAGTGTTTTGGAAAGGCAGAGAGAAAGGTAGAAGGAGAGCAGCGTGAGAGAAGTAGAAGTACTAGTATTTAGAAGGATAATATAAGTTTTGCAGATTATTTAGATGTATAAATATATTTTTTATCAAATTTTTTATAAATATTTTCTATATATTTAGAGCTTCATATTATTAATATTATTATAATATTTAGAGAAAATTTTACAGTTTGGATATGGAGTAAATATAAAATTTTGATAATATATGACCGTAGAAATTTAAAAATACATTATTAAGAAATTTTAATCGGTTTATATTTGTTTAATGATTCTTTTAAGAAATATAAATTAAGATTTTATTTGAAAAATTTGTTATTTAAAACCTATAGAATGTTTTTACCAATTAAATTTAAGTTAAATAATTTATTTGAGTTATTTAATGTATTATTGAGATTTTAATCGATTTAAATATTGAATAAGTTAAAAATCTATTGTTGAAATAATTTCTGAAGGCTTGAAAAATTGTAAATTGAGAATTTTAATATAAAATATTTAGATTTGGGGTCATAAATATTAAGTTATTAATTTTAAATATTTTCTTATGTGAACAAAAGTTTGTTTCCAAATAATATTGGGTGAGTTAATATATTTCTGTAACTTTAATTTAGAGGATAGCATTAGAATTTTAAAATAATTTTAGAATAGTTTTGTTATATATTAATAAATATTTATGTGTAATTTTGTAGACTCTTGAGAATTTTAGAGTAATCATTATGTGAATATTTGTAAGTTCAAGAGTAATAGGTAACTTTGAAAATTCTCTCATGTACATGTGAATTGTGTATGATTATTTTTGGATTTACTAATTTGTATTATACCATATTAAAATATATGTATGTATTATGACTTTTCAAATAAATGTTTTAATATGTTACTTTAATTTGTTAAGATTTATTGCTATTAATTATGATCAATATTTAAATATATTAATAGTTATTGATACAGAAATTTTATTGCTATCTTATTTTTAATAATATACAAGACGTACTTATGATGTAACATTATTTGTATATAACATATGTATTGTTGCGCTAAGGATAGAAAGAGATTTGCGTGAATATAAAATTACCATGTGGTATGCCATCACTCCGTGCATAATGGATGGCACTTGTTAGGACCTTTTTCTTCCATGTTTTTGTTTGGCCGGGAATTCATTGGAAATGTGGGATATGTGACACCTCCTTATTTTATTTGCAAAGGAAGGGAACCATAGTCCAAACTTGAGTTTTATATCTTTAGTTGGATATATCTCTAGTTTTGATGAGTTTGGAATAATTCAGTAAAATAGATTATTTCCTATTAGACTATGTGTTAACCTATGGCTTTAATTAGCGATATAAGAGTGGACGGTGATATAAGAAAGGATCCATATTGCATTATTTTTGGATATATTAGAAAATAATGTTGGTATATTGTTGAATTAAAAATAAAATTAAGGTGAATGTATAAATCCATGATTTTCATAAATATATATGTATATGTGTGTGTGATCGGATTTTTTGTGTCATATGTGATTTGTTGTATAGGTTAAAATTTCAGTAGTTATTGAGACGTTAGATTTCATCTCTTATATTAACAATTTTCATGTTAATGATCTAGTAGGAATTAAGGGAAGGTACCAATTGAATAAGCCGTGAAGATTTCTATACTTCTTAAACACATGTTATGTTAAATTTTTATTTACAATGACTATAAGACTTTAATAGTTTATTTTATTAAGTGATGACTAAAAACTGTTTTTGAAATTATAACTTGTATGAAAAGCTAGAAATACATAAGGACTTTTAAATACAATATTATATTTATTAAAATAGATATAATTATCATAGTATATAAAAAGAGGTGACTGTAAGGACAAGAACAAGGACCCGCTATTGAAGTGTTTTTTTTTTTTTTTTTTGGCTATTGAAGTGTTTAAGCATTCTGTTTTCTAAGAAAAAACCTTTTGTCTCTTGCTAAATTCCTTTACCTTTCAAAATATTGTTAACACATTGGATATGAAGTTCAACACTTTAAATATATTACAGAAGTGAAAATACGAATTAATCACATGATTAGGGCCTCGTTTAAAATCACATTTACAAGAATATTTTTACGTAAATCGAAATAAAATTCTGCTCACATATTTACCTTGTATTTTATAAATCATAATTAAAAAACTATTTATAAATAATTCTAAACAGCAGATCTTAACATGTCTGTCATTACAAATAGTTTAAGGAGATGAACGAAGAGGAGAGATCATCTCAGAGTTCTGCGAAGTTTAGTCAACAAATGATAGTAACTTGAGAGAGAAGCTCTGCGGAGCTACGTACGTGCACAGTCAACTGAACGTTTTTGGGAGAACTCTCGTGAAAAGTTTGTGTGGCCTTCCTTTAATTCGATCTTTTTTATTAAGCTATGTGCGTACTTTTCAATGCTTTGAATTCATATATGATGAGTCATACAGCTTTTTCATTTATTGCTATAGGAGTCGATGGCAGATTATGCATGGTTCTGAATTATGATGGACCAGAGGCAGTATTATATTATTACTATGCTTAACAGATGCAGAATGGAAAAATTAGAGTTATTTATTGGGAAAATCCTAAAAAAAAGACTACTGAATTTCAAAATACCAAATCAGGAATTACTATAAAAATAGGTTGTCATTTGCTCTTTGAATGTAGTCATTTTCTTTATGAGTGTAGTAACAAATACTAATTTAGAATTTTGAAATTCAGCTATCACTTTTTTGGGATTTTCTAATGACTACATTCAAAGAGCAAATGACAATCTATTTTTGTAATAATTCCCGATTTGGCATTTTGAAATTCAGTAGTCACTTTTTTAGGATTTTCCCTTATTTATTTTCATATTCCCTCACCAACCTCATAAGTATTAATCTTTTTTTTTTTGTTTTTGGCTCGCTTTCTATTAGTCAAGTTTCAGTTTCAATTTAGCGTAGCTAAAAAAACAAAGTATAGTTCAAAGAGTAATAACAAGTCAACAACATGAATTTTATTCTTATTATTTATTCCTTATGCCCACCACTACTAGCATCTTATAATTTTTTTTTTTGGGTGAATAACATCGAAGTCAAACATCTCATTGTTTAACGCATTCCACAAACTTTAAGAAATTCTGAAATGAGACACCCCCCTCTGTTAAGTTATTGCTGATGATCTTTTTCAGCTTCATGGACCTTCCCTTTATGCTTTCATCTTCAAGCAACATGTCCACTTTTCTCTTGATTTCATCGCGCGAGATCAGCCCTTGATCATCAAAATCAAATCCCAGTCCAATCTTCCAGGCTTCACAAATATAAATCTTGTCAAAAAAATGGTCACCAAAATATGGCCAACACAGAAAAGGCACCCCATTGCTCAAACCTTCCATGACAGAATTCCAACCACAATGGCTAACAAAAGCTATTGCAGGGTGGCTCAAAACATCATGTTGAGGTGCCCAGTTAACAATTTTCCCCATTTTTGCCTTTAAACCCATCTGGGTATGCCAATTTCGAGCCTTTATCTTTTGTCATTTTCCCTAACAACCCAAAGAAAAGGCCTTTGAGTAAGCTCAAGTCCAAGAGCTAGCTCTTGAAACTGGCTTGTATTGAACTCAGTGAAGCTGCCAAAGGCAACGTATATGACAGAACAAGGAGGCTGCTGATCTAGCCATTTCAAGCATGATTTGTCCTCTTCCCAGAATTGTCCAAGTGACTGAGTACTTAAGCTCTCATGGCTCTTCATTAATGGACCAATGGGCAGGATCTTGGGGTATAAAGAGAAAGCTCCAGGCTCAAGTTCGTAAATGGAATTACAAAGCCACCAATCTGTCAAGTTTGAAGCCCTTACTATCCTTAAAATGTAACTGAATATAATCTTTGAGAGGTTGAGTCTCCTATACAACACCATGGAATGTGAGCTGTGTTCATCTTAGGAATATCTAGGGAGAGCTCGAATTCTCCTTTTATAATTGGGATTCCTATAATGACAAGAGGCATCAAGCTTCGTCAAAACATAAACGAACAACATACCTAAGTTTCCAAAGTAACAAAGCTATGCACGTCAATAAATTAAGGTCCTGGAAATCGCATGATTGATTGAACTGGTCAAAATAATAATTTAAGAGTCAATGGTCTAAGTATGACTGAATTGGGTCAACCAATCATTATTATTAATATAACTTAAATAAAATATATAATTTCAGGCCAATAAAATATATAATTAAAGTATGTAAAACATTTACAAGTAACCGTAAAAAGTTTTATTAAAATGAAATGTATAAATCACTCATAATTTAACAAAACAAAATTACTAAAGCACAAATTTAATGGATTGTTATTCAGTCTTAATGCAAAAGAGAGTCATTTCAGGTTTAACGATGGGGAAAATATAAAATTCAATCCGATCACTAGTCAGGAAACTAGTTCACACCAATTCACTAGTCAGATTATCCAATTCAGATTGAGTTTTAATATCATGTAATAAATATTGTCCTGTGAAAAAGAAGAAAGGGAAAAGATATATAACCATCAGAATCTATGAGTCCATCCTGAATGAGCTTTGGCGCATGAAGTTTCAAGGCTAAAAGAGCTGCAGATGCAGTACAGATGACAGCAGCGTTAATACCAAACTTATGGGCAACTTCTAAGGCCCATGCCATACTCACATCTGCCACTACACAAGTGATTCTGTCACCACATTCAGTATTGTTATTTTCTAGAAGCTTCTCGAACTCCGAGTACATGGTGCTCAGCATCGCCAAACATAACCTGGCAAGGTCATTCCTGTCATCTTCAGGTCCCATACCATCTGGGATTGAAACAAATCTCAAAGTCAACCTCTCCTTAATCTCATCATCCTTCATTGCCTTCATCATTCTCTTGTGTTGTAATCTGAGTTGACGAAGGTGATTTTGAGGCCATTTTGGGCTAATTTATGAGAGACGTTCATGAGACAATTGACATGTCCTTGAGCAGGAAAGGGTAAAACCAGAACATGGGGTCTGCTCATTCTGTGTGTTGCTGATTATCACAATGGCCTACGCAAGGAGAAGAGATTGTTCTGTTAATCTTATAGACACAGGAGTGTAATGGTGGAGCTAGGCATCATAGATAAAATAATTAATGCTGGGGGAAACTTAAGTATTTTCACTCTTGACATTGATTGGTTGTGTTTAATTCTCACAGAAATTTTAGTTCTCTTTTGCTTTGCTAAGAAAATAATAAGTTAATATTGACAGAAGTCAAAGGAAATTAAAAAGAAGCATTTATTAGATTCAATGCATGAGCTAAAAGTATACTCCTCTGAGTTGTTAATAATAATTACTCTCCTCTGTTTAAATTTATTCTTAATTTATTGCATTGAAACATTTTGATATTACTCACATAAATAAGGTTGTAATAAAATAATGTTATTTTATATTGCTTTAAACTTCTAAAACGAAAAATAAATAAAACAAAAAATTTCATCAAAAAATATTTTTATTATGAAATTGAGGGAGTAATAATTTTGTGCATTCGCTGTAAATGTTTATAATTTCACATTATTCTTACAATATCTTTAACTAGTAATTAAAAAAAATTTCCTTTGGTAAAGAAAGAAATTTTTGAAAAATTTTAAGTGAGAAATTTTTTAGAAATCAGAATTATGTTAAAAATAAAATCATTATTAAATTAGTCAGATTTAATTTTTTTTTCCTCAATTTTTTTCAAAGGCGTATTTAAAAAGTTTTTACAAATCCTCCACATATTTAATGTCACATCTACCTTTTAATTAATTTTTTGGGGTCCATATGAGATGGTTAAATCAAAATTATACAGTAAACAGGAGGAATATATGCGCATCGATAGTTGAATTGGCTTAGTTGAGATAAACTTGAGAGAGATGGAGAGAAACGTTCAGAGACAGAAGTGAGATATCACAAAATGGTGTTTGGAAGAAAAAGACAGAAAGCTCGATCGAAGAAGGTAAGCCACACATCAGACACGAACGACTCAGAATTAAAAGCAATCAATCTATGTGATGACAAGCCATTGCAGGAGGTCAATGAAGCAATTATAAACCATTATCTGCTGAACTTAGAACCTGATTATGAACTAACATAAAATTATGTCAACTGTTATCTTTTTTTGTTGCGGATGTTCAGGTTTTATATTTGGAAGCTAAACAAACCCCTCAACTATCTCTTACATTTAAGATCACAGAGAATATATCTAATTATAAAGCTTCAACCAGACAGACCCAACAGTTCCATTTCTTTCTCTCATTCAAAGTCCACTCATTCTCATAACACAATCTATCTGCGTCTCCATCTTTGCCCAAGTTTAGAGAATTCACCACTGAGCATCAGACAGAGATCCTAAATATATTGACAATGCTACCTTGATAGAATGTTTTTGTAATTATGAATTTGTGATGGCATAGCTTTTGAAATTATCAGAAGATGCTGCATTGGAGAAAAAGCTACTCGTCATCCTCTGGTGATCAAAATCTTTAACCTTTACATCTGCATCTTTCTCCATACTGAATACAATTATCAATTTGGGCCAACACAATATCGTATGCTGCAAAATGGAAACAAGCCATCATTAAGACAACCATTCTGTTTTTTAATTCAATTTCACAACAGGAATTTCAGGATGAGAATGCATCACAATTCATATTATGTACAAACACATATAGTATGTTCACGAAGATAATAAAATAAACCATGTTTTCTTAGGTTGCATTTCGTATCAGAACAAGAAATTACATTTAAAAACATGTAAAAATGGCAAGGATATGGAATCCTCGTTGGAAAACAAACGGCAACACACGATAATGAAAGAAAATAGGCATTCAGCAAAACACCAGATTATCCGAGAGAGACACTCCCTTTTAGAAAGGCTAAGATAAAACACCAAAGATAAGTTATACTGCCACATCATTCTCAAGATGTTGAACTTATATTCTCCCCTCCCTAGCATGCACCAACAAGCCTTATTCCCCTAAGCAGAGTCGGCTATATCCTGCATTAGATATACTTGTGAAAAAAAATTCTAAAGTTTTCTGCGGAAACCCACTAATCAATTGGAAGCCAGTTTCTTTTGTGAGAGCAAATCCAAGCGGATTTTACTTTTTAGGTTTAACCGCATCCAAATCCTTTGACCAAGAGTAATCTCATAGGCACGACTCTATAGGGCTAAGCCATTAAGGGAAAGCATAAGCTACAAAAGACATATTCAGCAGTTGCACCTCTGCCAAACTATAAAACACTTGCACCAACTCAATCCCAACTCAACACCCAATTTTAAAGATTCAGCACCATTTCTGTTATTACTTATTAAAGACCCCATGTTTGTAGCCATGATGTTCAAAGTCACTTATTAACCAACACGGATGGATACTACACTACACCCAAGGGCAAAACAGATTATTTATATCAAGAGCAGTCTGAGAGACACGGAGCAAACCTGCTTTCCTTCCTCAAGTCCAGTGGAATAAAACTCACCATGCTATAGTCATTCACCTATAAGAAAAACAAAAATAAATATGCTGAAAAAAGATAATAAGAAGCATCGTAGAGTTCAAACAAAAAAATCAAAGGAAGCCTCAACCTTGAGGGTATGTTCAGGAACGACGTCATAAAACGAGAAGACAATGGAATGACGGTCATAAAAAATTTTAGGAATCAAATCATTATTCCAATCTCAATGTTAAACAAATACATAGCAAATTTGTCCATTCAACAATACACATACTAAACTTCATAAAAAACCATTGAACTATAAACTGAAATTATCCATCATAAGAGGAATTTTGAACAATTTTTACAATGACAAACGAACTAGAACTTGTCAGGTCAAGCATAATGGCAGTTGACAACCAGACTAAGCATGAGTGATGACAGGCTCGCAACACATAATTGAGGAAAAAAACTGTATATTTTACTAAGAACATAAATTACCCACCAATTCAATCAAAGCTTTATTCAGCTTTGCAAACTGAGGAGCCATCCGTTGATTCAATTCAGACAACAAAAAGCGGGGTTCTGGATCCAAAAATCTAAAAATAATACAGATTCAGGATATATTAGGATTTCAACGTATGAGGATGGTCAGATGAATGAAATATTAATAACAGAACTCACTCTTCTAAATCCCTTTTGTTAGTCACAAGGTCCATTTTAGAGAGAATATTAACATGGGGTAATTCCAATTGAACCATTGCAGAAAGGCAAGCCATGCATCCACTTATAAATTTGGTGGACATCTGTCATGAACTAACAGATAGAAAACTATAAAGTTAAGCAAACATTATGAAAAACTATGATAGAAAGTATACAGTATGTATTAAAAAAAGGGACCAAAATATAACACCGTGAGTCAAGCAAGTATACTGCACAAACATTGAATTTTTACGTTTCAAATGTTCAACAAAATTCCGAAGCACTGGCACATGTGAATAAAGCTCTATCTGACCTGAAAAACATTACAATTACAAGCCTATGTTAAAGTAATTCATTTTCTGATCGCTTTTAACCAGAAAATTTATAAACAATTTAACAATAGAAAAGATAAATGTTGAATGAAACAAAAAAAAAAAAGTGGACATGCATTAGTTTTACCAATGCACCCAATACATAATTAGTTCTAGAAGATGCTGATTTTGACATGCGCATTAGATGTGGTATCTCACCTCTTTTGATTTCACTATCTTGAAATTATTACAATATATTTAATAATTAGTGAACTAACTAATCATGGTAATCTGTCAAATAGCAATAAATGATTGAATGAAAAGTTTAATGATGTGGCATGAATACCAGGGCAGTCGAAAACCCAAGTAATCATCATCTAAGTAATTGTCCAGTTCTTCTGTGAACCAATTATCCAGATTTTCTTCAAGGTGTCTAAATGTGATTATTAAGGCCACAAAATTGTCAAAAATAATGCTTAAAATAGTTAGCAAATACATAAAAAGGGATGAAGATACAACAAGATAACAGTAAAGAGATAATTCATAATCACATTCTCTAGCTCAGTAACCTATCGTAAAATATATACAGAATCTTGCTTCAGGCAAGGTGTTAAGAACTTTGCCAAATGAAAAATTAGAAATGAACGAACCAAGACAAAAGCAAAAAACGAAATAAGAAACCCTGGATTTTGCTGAAAGACACAGAAAAGGATACTCCATGCAGTACATAAGACCCCCATTAGGCCCTAACCCAAGTTCCTCCATGACATCGTCCAAAAAATGAGTTCCCTTATATCTGCAAGTATTCCAATGTAAAGAAGTTAAACCCTTGCAACTATAATCGATAACTCAGAAAAGAAATAAACAAGTCCCACAATGTATTTACCATTGCCACAGGATAGTCAAAATTTTCAGCGGCAGGGTCCAAGTTCACAACATGCATTGTCCGACGCACAGCTTCACAATGTTGGTACAAACTTGAGCAATATGTGGACTAATACACAACGTAAAATGCATACACCAATCAGGATCCAAGCACACACACAAACATAGCACATACAGGAAAAACTCATCCAGTTTACAAATAACAGGACAAAGGAAATGAATAATAGAAATTACCTTGCCACTACCAGCGGGACCTATCACAAGCTGAGCATAACCCATGATTGATTGATCAGCGTTCAATCAGTTTTCCTCAGAATCAAAATCAAGAAGGGCAAAGCAACAGCTCCAGTGGTGGCAAGAACTCCACAGTTATGTAAGCAATACACTGAACCCCAATGGCAAAATACAATTTAGAAGATCAGATTAGGCCATAAAGGGCAGGCACCCAAGATAGAGATAGAGAAACAGTAAAAGGAAACCTTAATTGTAAATATCCAATATAACAGAAAGGAAAAGAAATATATGAAAAACTTCGTTAGAATGTAAAAAACCTCCCTAAACTTTGCCTCATATGTGGATAACCCCCTAAAAAACATACATAAATAATCCCTGGCCTTTAAAACTAGATACTGGACCGCCCAAAACATGAAATATTTGTAACATCTTGATGTTAGTCCAATATTTTACTAACAGAAACATGACATTAAGTTGCATATAACCCAAAATTCATGAAAATTATCCGCACAACATAATTAAATTTCAATGGAGTTACCAGTACACAAAGTGAAGTTTAGAATATCGCTTATTCTAACACGTAGCGATGATATGCTTGTGACCCATCAAAACTAGCATATTATTCCAAACACATTATGGTAATCCCCTAATTAACATAAACAAAAATGAAAGGTAAATAGTGCAAAATTAATCGCCACAATAAGAAAAACTAATGGACCATCCTTTTCCATGAGTATGCTTATATCCACTATGCTTCATCCATTAAGTAATTTATCTCATTCAAGGTATTATCATCTGACAATATCAAACCAATAAACCATCAAAGAGCACCCAAAACAATATCCTTGTCAGGGTCCAACACAGTGAACAAAAACAAATATAAATTGCGGGCATGAGACATTCTTTGACAGCACAGCCTACAAACAAACAACCTGGAACATCTTCCACACACTGAACGTGAAAATGGGAAAGATGAAACAGGGAGCTTCTTAAAGAAACTTAAATATTACAATCACTCAGCAAAGTAAGGAACCCAGAAAATCAAATGATGCTGAGAAGGTAAGGGGTTGTACAAAATTTTGCAAGGTTACCTCTATGAATCAAGGAAGCTTCCTCTTCCTTCACTCACTGCAAGTCAACAGGAAAGAGATCCTTTCCAGTTTCCAAATGCAAGAATAGCGACCGACTTAAAAATTCGAAAAGGAGGCCTATATAAGCTTACTAATAAAGGGACCCTTTTTTCAGGCTCTCTATTACAAATTGACACTATCTCCCTCTGCTTAGAGTTTCCCTCTCTCCGCTGGCTTCTCTGTTCAAACTCCCTCCTGCTTGAAGAAGTGGTCTCCCGTTCCCAGTTCACCAGACCTTCCTTCTCGCGCCAGGCGCCAGCCCTATTCTCTGCACTCTGAAGTCGACGCGTTATGGGCTCAAAGATTGAACAGAACGGGGTTAAACGCCAAAACTTCCAGCGTTTAATCCTTCTTAAAACTTCAGTTCTTCTTCCCCTTTTTCTGGTCATTTTTTTAATTTATTACGCACACAATATCTGTGTTGCTTTTATATTTTAAGAATATTAAAATCTAAAATACTACCCTTGAGCAAAAATGAAGAGAAGAGAAAAGTTGAGAAAAGAAAAAAAAATAGTTAATTTCAAATGAACTATAACGACCTTATTATCTTTAAGAGAACATTTATGTATCAAAAAATTTATTATTCTTTCATATTATTTATATAATGTTTATCACATATTATTAATAATAATTCTAAATGGAACAAGCAAAGACGCTTATAAACCATGAACAAAGATGGAGAGGATGGGAAGGAAAAAGGGCCAAACGATGAAAAATATTGACGGACAATTTTGGGGGGGAAAAAGGTTTTTTTTTTTACAAAAATATCTTAAAATAATTGAAAGTTGTTATTTATTTTCTCAAGTTTTCTTTTCCTTCCACTTTTCTCTCATTAACTAAGCGAGGAAACTGCTAATTTTCCTTTTACTCTTACATCAGACTTTTATCGAATATATTTTGAACTTTTTGTATCTTTAATTTTTGGAAGATAATTTTTTTTTTTGGTGAGTATAAGAAATATCATCTGCTGACATTAGAGAATAGGCTGCTGAACCAAGGATAGACCCCTCTCAATTAAATCACCACGTACAAAAGGATTGTGATTTTTTTTTAAAGATAATTTCAAGGAAGAAAATTACATTTTTGAAAATATTTTTACGCTCTCTCTTGTTTTTCCCTAAAAAACAAAAGACTAATTATATAATGATAACAGAGAAGAGAGAAAAGTCCAGGAGAATGCATTCAAAAACAAACGTAATGATTCCCAGTACACTGATTATAACCTCCCTCTCTATTTCGCATCGCGCATATTCCCTCTCTCCTCTAACTAACTCTATATCCAACTTACCGATATGCCCTTCCCAAAACAGATAAGACAACTATAAGGTAACTATAAAATAAACATAGGAATAGCACGTATCATACTATCCCCCCCTCAAAAAGGATCCTTGTCACAAGGATGGTGTTGGTCGGAGGAGCCTTAGTCTGGAATTGAGGAAATTGTTGTTGAATCACCGAAAGATCTTCCCAAGTAGCATCTTCAGC